GAGGAAGTATATAGCCTTCTCTTAATGTTATCAACAACAACAACAACAAAACCCTATTCCCATATGTAATGGAGTTAGGGGGAGGTAGGGTAGTAGGCTGTCCCCAACGCCAGGTTGAGAGCAACTTCCGTGGAAGACCTCCGGCAGTCAGAAAAATTTAAAAATAAAGATAAAATACAATGCATGTATAAAAAGAAATAATAAATAATACATAGTTGAACAGTCTTCATATGCAGTTTTCATATGCGCGTCTGTAATGGGAAGTTATCCCTGCATACAAATCTCTGAATATAGACAAAAAAAAACGTGAGTCCCGAAATAAATTTAAAAGACGAAACATGATAAGGATATACAGAAGTCAGTTGTTGCAAGCTACGATAAAAGAAAAATATCAAATGGGTTAAAACCTAAACTATGCAACACTACTCCGCTATCCTAGTTTTAATCCTTCAAAATTCCCATGACAGAAGATCTCAAGCAGTCTACCCACTTCCTCCTTGGTCGTCCTCTCCTTCTGGCACCGTCGACTATAATCGACTCTACCCTCCTGACCGTATCCGACTGTTGTCTCCTAAGGACATGCCCAAACCACCGTAGTCTTCCCTCCCTCAATTTTCGGATACAGGCATCTCCTAAGGACATGCCCAAACCACCGTAGTCTTCCCTCCTCAATTTTTCGGATACAGGCATCACCCCCAAGGACATTCTAATTGCAGAGTTTGGAGTCATTTCCCACAGAGTCTTACCACATGTCCATCGAAGCATCCATCGAAGCATTCTTATTTCTACAGCTTTCATCCTCCTTACGTGATCTTTCTTGATTGCCCAACATTCTGATCCATACATTAGCGCTGGTCTTATTGCAACTCTATAAAATTTTCCCTTAAGTTTAGAGGCACCTTCTTGTCACAAAACTCCTAGCTGCCCTCCACTTTAGCCATCCCGCCTTTATACGGTGCGTTACATCATCATCTACACCCCCATCTTTATGTATCATAGACCCTAGATACTTGAAACAATCCTTAGAGGGGAGAACGTGTCCTTCGATGCATACGTCTACATCTTCATCGTTTTGGTTCCCACTGAAGTTTGAACATAAATACTCTGTCTTTTCAATATTGATCCTTAGACCTTTTTCTTCCAAAGCTTTCTTCCAGTTATCCAGTCTACTATTCAGCTTAGTTTTTGTTTCAGCAACTAGGACAATGTCGTCAGCGAAAAGCATACATCATGGAACACCGTCTGGTGCGCACAATAGATGTCGTTCATAATCAAGGCGAAGATGTAAGGGCTCAGAGCCGACCCCTGATGGAGTCTGATTTCTACTGGGAAAGCCTCTATGTCCCCAACTGTAGTCCTAACATATGTAGTAGATCGACAGTACATATCACGAATCGCCTAGATATAAGCAGTTGGGATCTGTCTCGTTTCCAAGGTCTTCCAGATCATATTGCGGGGAACGCTATCATACGCATTCTCTAGGTCAATGAACGCCATGTGAAGATCTCTATTTTTTTCCCTATATTTCTCCATAAGTCGTCGAAGTAGATGATCGCCTCCGTAGTAGACCTACCTGGCATAAAGCCAAATTGATTTTCCGAAACCGTAGTAACATGTCTCAACCTAGCCACTATCACCCTTTCCCATAGCTTCATGGTATGACTGAGTAGTTTAATACCTCTATAATTAACACAATGTTGGGGATCTCCTTTATTCTTATAGATTGGTATCACCGTAGACTCTCTCAACTCCTCTGGCATCTTGGTAGTCTCTAAAATAATATTAAAGATATTGATCGACCACTTTACTCCCTCTTCTCCTAGGGCTAGCCACACAGTGATGAGAATTTGATCTGGACCAACAGCTTTGTCCCTCCCCATCTTTCTAAGAGCCATTTTGACTTCCTTACTCCCAACCGTACAAGTAGGGCAGTTATTGGCCGTAGTATGATGATCGACTGACCCATCAACGGTACTATCTGTACAGGGAGAGGCACCGTCATTAAATAAGCCATAGATGTAACTACTCCAAACCCTTCTCTTAAGAGGTTTTTATATTGACTCTTAGTACGTAAGAACCTCATAATTCAATGGTAAATAAAGTAATTTAGGTTTGTTTATAGGTCTGTACAAATAGAGCGCTGCATTGCGGGATTGCGAATGGCATGGATTATAAGGATTGGCAGGTAGGACACGGTATTAGGTCCCTGATATTTTGTTATAGAGGTGACCGACTCGAAGGATGTTGGCGTTCGTCAAAAGCGTAATTTGAGGGCCTTTCCCACTTCGCAGGTTCTAACAGCTGGACCCCCAATTCCTCGCTGTTCACATTCTTGGTCGGCGCCTTATCCTTACATATTCATATTTTTGTGTATCCACAAATAACATAACATCATTTAAAAATCGTTTTTACTTTTATTACTTTTGACTAACAATACATTAATAGATAAAGTTGCATATATATTTCTGTTCATTTAGATTAACGGATCATGTTTCACTGCTTTTACGCATCCCAGTCCCCCAACAGTTTCAGCAATGAAACCATTCTTCTCTATCGACCCTACGATTTCCCCCATCCACGGTGTGTAATAATAAAAGAAAACGATGAAGCAAAAATCGAAGATCATAATAATGAAAGGTCTGGCCAGTTACATGTGCGAGACTCTGACTCTTGACCGCCTGCCGGTTTTTTTATAATCTATTTATTTTCGCAGCCTTCATGTGTGGATGGATAGTACGACAGTCTCCACTTGTTTTAGCTTATATTTTTTTACCAAATGTCGCAGCTCGGCTTCCTTGTTATTACACGATTCCTACGACTCGAATTTTTATGTTACTTTTTTATTTCTACTTTATGAACATAAAGGCTTTTTCTTTCGGAGAATCATTTACGAACCAGATCAGCCATTATTATGAAAATTAATTTGCCTTTGAGATTATATTAGCCCATCCATCCCATTTGCATGCTTTGTGTCACAGAAAGTGTTTCTTTACATAAAGTTCCAAATTTTGTATTTAAACATTTAAATTTAATTATTAATATTAAAATAAGAATACAAAACGAAAACCAATACAATCATTAAAGTATGTAGAAATTAGAGTACCGAAGATAAAAGTGGATTAAGCCTACAAGTTTATCTAAAATTGTCTTCATATACGGTTCTATAGTAGGGTTTTATTATCAGTCAATTCCCAACACTACTAGCCGCCGAGAGATTGGTCCACTGACAAAATTAAATATAGAATCAAATAAAATAAATCTCTTAAAAGAGAAAGATGGTGCTCAATAATATACAATATCTAGTTTTTTAACCTTAAAAAAATAATAAGAGATTCGACCAACCCCTACGGTAGTCCAAAGCAGTTAGTATGGGATCCACAGAAGAGTTTTATTTATACTTCTTAATGGTATTTTTACATTTGCTATTTTGGCCAGGTTAATTATTTACTTCTAATAAGATTTGGTCCATTTTATTTACATTTTTTTTATAACTTTTAGATTATTATAATATAAAAACTAGATTATTTAATATTCCCATTTTGCGTGTACACCATTCAATAGATATAATATTTTATATTTAGACCGTGGATTTTTAAAAATATTATATTAAAAATACAAAATGTTAAATTTTAAAAATATAAAAATTATTTAAATTATATAAAAATTTAAAATTCTTAACAAATATAATTATTCTAATAATCATTTTAGTTAAGAATGTATAAATACGCTACAAATATAATTACTTAAACTCAATAACTCATGGAAGAACAATATTTTTTAAACAATTCCTACATAAAAGAGGGGAAGATGATTTTTTATCTTAGTAAGTATTGAATCTACAACCTATAACTTATAAGAGAGAGAAAGTGTTAACTAAGAACTTTTAGTCACTTACTCTAAATATTATTAAAAAAAATAACACTCCCGTTAATAATTGAGATTACTTAATGAAATTTTCATCACATTATTTTAAATAACGTTTTACAGTATATTTTTATTTAAATTTTATGGTACATTTTAAAAAACAATCCCTAATTATAAGTTAAATCCAACGAATTTAATTACCTTATATTACACACAAATTAAATGATTCCGTAATAAATAAATTATCGTTATTTATTGAAAATATGAATTTAACCATCATAAATACTAAAGTTGTGAACGTTTAACGGCTAGAGGGAGAGTTATCTTTGAACTAAAAAAAATTACCTTATATTACTCTTCTATTTCTCGCTCCTCGCTTGGAACCCATAATTATCCTTTCCTTTTACCATTATAAACGCCGCTGACCACGCTTTGACGCTCACCATAGTTTTCTCTGTCTTCAACTCTGTTATTTAATTTTTAAATTTAAAATTTAAACAAAAAAATAGTATTTTAGACGAAATTATTATTATTTTATTGTTGAATTATACAGCAAAGCAAAGGGCAAATTTGGGAGTTTCATTCTGTTTATATAAAAGAAAAACAAATGGGTGGCCAAGGTGGTTAACCGTTTAACTGCTCCCCCTCAATAATTTATCCAAAATAATAAATTAAAGAAAAATAATAAGATTGAGGTAGAAAGTTTTGGCCCATCTATCAATACCTGTGCTGTTTTTTCGGTTAAGGGGAAAATAGCTGCAGACGAAGGCAAAGATGAACAGAAACAACAAGGGGAAAAAACCCAGAATTTCTCAGGGTTGTATGAATTAACGAATGGCATCTCAAATGGTTGAAACAGAACATGCAAATACTCGAGAAAGAGAGTGAAAATAATAAACTGATGGTTGGATACAGCGAAGCAGATGATAAAGAGTCCCCCACCCTTCTCCTCTTCAAGCGCGCTGATTTATAATAATAAATAATAATAATATATGTAAGTAAATGTTCGAGACAGAGAGAGAGTATTGAAAAAGAAAAGTTGGGTCTTTGATTTTTCATTGGACAACCTTGCCTACTACTGCCGTGGGCACCCACTAGCAGCTTTTTTGTTTTCCTTTTCTCATTCTGCAATTCATATTAATCATCCTTCTTTCCTTTTTCTCTCGCTCGGTTCTGTTATAGCTTGGCATAGGTAGGTGTATAATATATATTTATATGTAAAGTTTATTTTTTTTTTAAAAAAAAATCAGCTTTCTCAACAGTAATGATTTTCTCGTTAGGGGTATCGTTGCTGAGGAATCTGAGGCGTTTTGGTTGTGAAAAAGTGGCAGTTATCATTATTATAGCATTAGAAAAACAACAACAGCTAGAAGAAGAAGAAGAAGGTCATCACCAAAAGAACAAAAAGAGGATACACGCTATTGCTGCTGCACGAGTGCTTGAGTAAGAAGGGCAGAGACAAACAAGCCTTGGCCTTTGATTGATTTGATCACCTATCTTTTTCCCCGTTTTATTTGGAAGTCTGTGTCTGTATATTTTCTTCTATGTCTCAACCAAGACAATTCCATATGGTGGGCGGTAACAATCCAGGGCAGTTCAATGACACAACTTTTACGAAAATCTTTGTTGGTGGGTTGGCTTGGGAAACTCAAAGAGATACCATGAGGCGTTATTTTGAGCAATTTGGAGAGATTCTTGAGGCTGTTGTGATCACAGATAATAATACTGGGAGATCCAAGGGCTATGGCTTTGTAAGCTTATTTGATCCTTATTTTATTAACAAAGCTTTGTTTGTTTCCTTTGTTATTCATGCTATGAATTTTTCATCTTTTTTGTTTCCAGGTTACGTTTAAGGATCCAGAGGCAGCCATGAGAGCATGTCAAAACCCTTCACCTGTCATCGATGGAAGGCGAACCAACTGCAATCTTGCTGCATTGGGTGCTCAAAAGACTCGTCCACCAATTTCTCAACATGGTTTCTTTCCTCCCTTCACATTTCTTTGTTAGCAAATGTTGAAAAAAAACCATTTTGTCTTTTGCTATACTGTGGAGGCATTTTCATCTTGGTTAGGATCTAATGAAACGAAATGCAGATCTAAAACACCAGAGGTTTACAGTAAATTTAATTTAGGAAGACCAATTAAATGCAGGGGCAGGACGGTTTAGACCATCACATGGTCCTGGATTGACGGCACCACCTGGCTACCATGTTTCCTCCTCAAATTATATCCAACATCAACCTACTGGTCAATATTCAATTCCATACTCTGCTCATGGGTGAGTCACCGAGTCCAATATTGTAGAAATTGAAATTCAATAGAATTTGTTTTTAACCGGCAATATTCATTCTCCATTTGTTTACTTTCAGGTATACTGGATATTCACAAGAAGGCATTTATCCTCTGGTTAGTGTTTAAAAAATGACATCTCACCTCAGTTTCTTGACATTGCTTTAGCTGAATTTAATGTTGTTTTGTAGAACTATTATAACCTCTATGGAGGTCAACAGTTTTCACCTTACTACGCTGCCGGGGCATCGGTGACACCGGGGATGTTTCATAATTTGTACCCACTTTATGCTCAGTATGCACAAAGTAATCAAGCTCATGGTTTTGGAGCTCAATACCCGCAAATCGTACAATATCCATATTTGCCTCAGCAGTATAGCTCAACTGGTATGCTATCTCTTCCATCTTCAACGTCCATGGCAGCAACTACTACAGGTGATTGTTTTATACAACTTCTAAATACATTTATAGAGTACTTTTTTACTGTAGTTTGCAACCAGTTAAGCTTTTGGTTTATATGTGCCGATTGCAAGAAAACTTCAATGCAAAATGCGCTTATAGATGTTTATCATCAAACAATATCTGCAGCAGGTATTGCAGCAACAATTGCAGAAACCGCAGCATATTTGCCTCAGCAGTATAGCTCAACTGGTATGTTATCTGTTCCATCTTCAACGTCCATGGCAGCAACTACTACAGGTGATTGTTTTATACAACTTCTAAATACATTTATAGAGTACTTTTTTTACTGTAGTTTGCAATCAGTTAAGCTTTTGGTTTATATGTGCCTATTGCAAGAAAACTTCAATGCAAAATGCACTTATAGATGTTTATCATCAAACAATATCTGCAGCAGGTATTGCAGCAACAATTGCAGAAACCGCAGCATATTTGCCTCAGCAGTATAGCTCAACTGGTATGTTATCTGTTCCATCTTCAACGTCCATGGCAGCAACTACTACAGGTGATTGTTTTATACAACTTCTAAATACATTTATAGAGTACTTTTTTTACTGTAGTTTGCAACCAGTTAAGCTTTTGGTTTATATGTGCCGATTGCAAGAAAACTTCAATGCAAAATGCGCTTATAGATGTTTATCATCAAACAATATCTGCAGCAGGTATTGCAGCAACAATTGCAGAAACCGCAGCATATTTGCCTCAGCAGTATAGCTCAACTGGTATGTTATCTGTTCCATCTTCAACGTCCATGGCAGCAACTACTACGGGTGATTGTTTTATACAACTTCTAAATACATTTATAGAGTACTTTTTTTACTGTAGTTTGCAACCAGTTAAGCTTTTAGTTTATATGTTCCGATTTCAAGAAAACTTAAATGCAAAATGCGCTTATAGATGTTTATCATCAAACAATATCTGCAGCAGGTATTGCAGCAACAATTGCAGAAACCACAGCAGTAACAACGACAACACCTACAACAACAACAGCAACAACTGGGGTAGTGGCAGCAGTACCAGGTCCATCACAAGCTCCCGAGACACCAACCTAAAAGAAACCACCGTGTTAGTTTGCGATAGATTTTTGTTGTGTCTTTTACGAGGGAATTGATATCTTTCGAAAGGAACATAAGCAAAGAGGAAACATTTGTTGATCAACTAGCATAACAAGGAATGGAACTCAGGTAAATTCCAGACGGGATTGTTCAATCAAGGAACAGGCGTTTCATACATAAACCTAGTTCTACTAACCGTCTAGGATTCATTCTTCGTTCAAGTTCGGTAGGATTGTTCTATTACCATCATCATCATCTTCAGACATCAACTCATCACACACGTTTGGTCTTACGAGGATAGGGAGTCGTTTAATTACATTGTTTAGGTTAGGGAGAACAAAATCATATTATTCATGTATTTGCATGAGGTGGAAACCAAGTATTGGCTTTGGATTCCACCTTAGACGCTAATTACTAGATGATTCTGTCTCGGTTGCAGAGAGCATCCGATGTTCATATTCGTAGCAAAGTGGTTCAAAAGATTGAATTTTGTATCTTTGAACCCCAAGTTGATTTATTGGTCAAAGACAAAAGGGCGAGCTCGGATAGCTCACCTATTAACGTGTAATTGTTTTTCTCCTTTTTCATTATTCATGATTGGTATATTTATTGGTTTTCAAAGGCAGGGTTAGGATAATAAGACGGTATTAACACATAATCATCTATTTCGTGTTTCAACTTTCACTTTCGATGTGTTTCCTCTTTATTTGATGGATCAAATCTTTGCCTTTTCCACTTTTGGGGTTCGACGCCGTGTCATACATGCATGTGATTATGGAATCCAATGGGAATGGGATCTCTCATATGGCAAAAGGGTGTCAATGGTTCTTTCCTTCTTTGTTTCAGTCAAAACATGCATGCTGCTTGTCGGGTTCTATTCGGGTCGCTCGATAAATATCTCTGGCTATTTGTATATTTCTATGATTCTTTCTAAGATATAAACATATAACGTTTGTCAATGCACTCGATAATTATTAATATATTGATTATACATTGTATGCACACGATTTATTTTAAACGTCATTGTAAAATTTGGAACTTATTATTTGATTGCAAACATAAAATTAAATTTGTATTAATACTTGCATTGTCAATAAATTTAATAAAAGTAATTTTAATATATATATATATAAAATATAAACCAAATGAAATCAGATCAATGTTTTCCAAGATCAAAGAGGGTAATTACAATATTTAAACCAATATATGAAACCTGTATGGAATAAGATAAACCACTGTCTTATTTTACATGCCCCTCATTTTCTTTACAAATTAATTTAAATAAATAATAAAATATTAAATTTTATCATAATGACGATGAAAAATATATTTTATAATAAAATATTTCTGCAATTAAGTTTGTTTTCCTAACACTAACAAAGCTTGATATATATATAGTTTACGGTTTACCTGTGATGAACAGGCCTAATTTCCAATATTGGCCAGTTTGTTAACCGAATCTCTGAAATCTCGGGAGCGCATTTACACTTCCCCCCTTAAAATCCCATTTGAGAAGTGGAAATGAAACCCAGATTCCTAACAACCGTCGTTTTGAGACGAGCGCTGCACAGACTCAGCTTTCTGAATACCCATCGTTTCAAGTAGTAGGAAATTCTCAGGTAATTCTTTGCCATTGTTTATTTGTTCGGGGAATTTTTGCCTTGGTGAGATTTCTTGGAAATTCGTTTTCGGTCATAGTCTTGAATTATTTTTAATCTTTATATCGATTGGGTTTTAATTGTTTTATTCATTTATTTTACTGTTAGAAGTAGGAAAGATGTCGACGGCTGGCGAAGCTGCTTGCTCTTACGCTGCGTTGATTCTCTACGATGATGGCATCCCAATCACTGTATCCTTTATGCATATTTCGATTTTTATGATACGATTACGGAATGAACAAATGTTTTTTTTTTTGGAATTTGATTATTTTTATTGAATGAATGGTATATTTCTCATATGAATTGGAATAATAGGGTTGGTTTGTTTCCTTAACTGTAGCTAATATAGGCTGAGAAGATTGCAACGCTAGTTAAAGCTGCAAATGTCTCCGTTGAATCTTATTGGCCAAGTTTGTTTGCCAAGCTTTTCGAGAAATGCAACATTGGGGATTTCGTAACCAATGTTGGTTCTGCCGGTGCTGGTGCCCCGGTTGCCGTAGCTGCACCTGATGCAGCCGCTGCCGGAGGTGGTTTCGCCGCCGCCGCTCCTCCTCCTGCCGAGGAAAAGAAGAAGGTGGGACTAAAAATTACAAATTAATCAGTGAATCTTATCACATTGTCTCTACTATTCCGTTTTGATATTTGAATTCTTTGGTCATTTTGCAGGAAGAATCAGAGGAATCGAGTGATGGAGATATGGGATTCGGATTGTTCGATTAGGATGGGTTGATTACTGGTTCATTGCACTAAACTACGATAGTATCACGGTTTTGGTATATGCACTTCTGTTTCAGAGAAGTCACAATAAGCAGTTGTATAGTTGAATCTTCTTATATAAATAAGCATTAGCACTTGCGTTCTTTTATGCTATCGTTGACATCTCTTAATTTGATTCGACTGAGTCTTGAACCAACTTACAAAAAAGATAATAGATTTGCCCGGGTAATTAAAGATCAAAGTTGAGTGAAACTGCAGTAATTCTCGATCACATTGTACTGCCAAGAGAAACTACGCTTTGAAAAGGACATTGAACTCATCCATAGCCAACTCCTGCCAGGTTGGGATTGGCCTTATCAAGTTGAAACCGATGGAACATATTGAACCCTACGCCCACTTCCCAAGGGTCGTATCTCTTTATTGAATCGAATCAAATTTAACTCGTTTTACTGTTTTTTGTTTAGACGACTAATAATCCTTATTTACAAAAGCATAAAAAGCTGTCGATGTCACCAAACTGAAAATTTTACTAAGACCCATCAATGACCATGACCTTAAATTTAGAAAATCGGTTTTATTCGGATTACACTAAACGGCATCGTTTAAGGCATCAATTCCGTCCCAAAAAGAATAACAATTTTAACTGTCTTGCTTGCAGTTTAACTTTCTTTATTTCCTTCACATTCCTATTTCTTCTTCTTCCCGAGCTCTTTCCGTATCAGAACAAAAATGTCTACTGCTTTTTCTGCAGCCAAGTTCAGTACCCAACCTTTCTCCACTATATCTCACGATAGCCCCCTCGTTTTCGCCAAACCCACTTCCCAATTCTTCGGATCTACCCGCAAACTCCGCCTCACTTCGTCCTCAAAATTCAATCTCAGCCGTCGATCCGGGACCGTCGTCGCCGTCTCCGATTATGTTAAGCAGAAGACATCCAAATCCACCACCAGTCTGGTAAAATCCCATTTTTTTCACAATCAAATTAAGTCATGGTTCATATCTGTTTCCCTAACAAATCTAGATTTTTGTTAAGTTTTGCTTCTATTTCGTTTTCAGTTGATAACGAAAGAAGAAGGGTTGGAATTATACGAGGATATGGTATTTGGAAGAGCATTTGAGGATATGTGTGCTCAGATGTATTACAGAGGCAAAATGTTTGGTTTTGTTCATCTTTACAACGGCCAAGAAGCTGTTTCCACTGGTTTTATTAAGCTCTTGAAGCAGCAGGATTCTGTGGTGAGCACATACCGTGATCACGTGCACGCCTTGAGCAAAGGAGTCCCGGCACGTGCCGTCATGAGCGAACTCTTCGGTAAGACCACCGGCTGCTGCCGCGGCCAAGGTGGGTCGATGCATATGTTTTCCCGTGAACACAATCTGCTCGGTGGGTTTGCTTTTATCGGTGAAGGGATTCCCATTGCCACGGGGGCGGCTTTTACCTCCAAATACAAGAGGGAGGTTTTAAAAGAAGCTGACTGCGATCATGTTACCTTGGCGTTTTTCGGGGATGGGACTTGCAATAATGGGCAGTTCTTTGAGTGCTTGAATATGGCGGCGTTGTGGAAATTGCCCATTGTGTTTGTTGTTGAGAATAATTTGTGGGCTATTGGGATGTCCCATTCGAGGGCTACTTCTGATCCTCAGATTTATAAGAAAGGACCTGCCTTTGGGATGCCTGGCATCCATGTTGATGGAATGGATGTTTTGAAGGTCAGAGAAGTTGCTAAGGAGGCAATTGGCCGGGCTAGGCGAGGTGAAGGTCCAACATTGGTGGAATGCGAGACTTATAGGTTTAGAGGACACTCTTTGGCTGACCCTGACGAGCTTCGTGACCCTGGTAACCATTCGATTGTTTTTATAGCCTCATGCTATTATTACGTTGCAACTTTGAATGATAAAACAAGAACAATTTGCATGAATGTCTGTTGTACTGATCCTGTTATATTCTCTTAAAGTTGTAGTGATTTACTCTCTTTATGTTACAGTTTAAGCATACTAATTGAAAGATAAATGATTTGTGTTTTTAGATTCTTAGGGATGAAGTTATGAGTTTCGACTGATCCTGAGCAATATTGTACATGATTCTGTTCGTAATTAGGGTGTTCTTTTTCCCTAGAAATGTGATCTTTGTCAATGTCTTGCTACTTCTTTGGCAGCTGAAAAAGATCACTATGCTGCAAGAGATCCTATCAGAGCCCTGAAGAAGTACCTCATTGAGAACAGTCTGGCCAGTGAAGCCGAGTTAAAGGCCATAGATAAGAAGATAGATGAAGTGGTAGAGGATGCTGTTGAGTTTGCAGATGAAAGCCCCATTCCTGCTAGGAGCCAACTGCTCGAAAATGTCTTTGCCGATCCAAGAGGTTTTGGAATAGGACCTGATGGTCGATATAGATGCGAGGATCCTAAATTCACTGAAGGCACTGCTCGTGTCTAAGATTTCAAAGCAGGACAGCAATCAATCCATTTATGCACACCTTTTGTTATTGCATGATCTCTTATATTTAATTCTTGCTAGCAATCCCTTCATTTTTTTATGTTTCTCTTGAAACTGATGGAGTAGCATGTTTTGTTGTTTTTGGATAAGAGCAAATTGTGAATCCTTATCTTAGAAATAGTGGAAGTGGATGAGCAAAGCTTTTCATGCTTTAGTTATTGTGTATTTGCATGTGGACGAGTTGGCTTTCCCTGTTTGGTGTTTTGTTGTTTACCAAAGAGGCTTGCCACTTCAAAGCCAACACGTGGGAGATTTTTTTCTTCAACAAAATGGGCTTCTGTTTTGATGGTCTCTTTCAGTTTTGCTCAATGGGCTTTGCTTGAAGTAGGTGGCTTAAGTTGACCGACTGTTTTCCCCTGTCTCTTCGTTTGAGCTCGCTCCACTCCATGGAAACTAATAAATGGCTGCAGATTTCATCAATATTTAGTTTACATATTCATGCTGTACTTTATTTTTAAAATGAACAATTATTTATCCTTTAACTGAATCCAAATCAAACTCAATAATATGTTTCAAATTTGATATCAATATCTTGGATAGATTTATATTTCTTTTGAATTTGTCATATAATTATGAGATTTAAAATTAAAATTTGAAAGTACTGGAAAACAATGAACAAACACTCTTCACATCAACCAAAACGTAACTTCAAAGCCACAGTATCGCATTTTGAGCCATGAGGTCCCAATTGTGATCAAGCCGTGACACGTTGTGGAAATTTCAGAGAATATATTGCCTCGACTACCGAACCAGTCAACACGTGTCCTTTGCGGCCCCCACCTCACAGCGTGGAGGGTTACTAGATTTCACCAATCCCATCACACCAAATCATGTGAAAGAACTGTGGCTCGTGTTGCGCAATCAGCTTCACCAACCAGTAGCCAATGGCGGCCCACCTTTTGATCCAACTCCTCCCCCAACCGGTGTTTTGATCCGCATGAAAAACAAAAAATAAATCACAGTCTTCGCTTCGCTTTGCTTTCTTTTTCGTTTATTCAAAGAAGAGGAAAATATTTTATGTGGTTTTCGCGGCCATAAACGAAAGTTTGATATCAAAATACATTCAGGCTGTTTTCGATTCTCTCAAAATTTCAGATATTTCTTCACTTATATTGTTCCCCCCCCCCCTTTTATTAAGGATGAGGTTAATTGGATAATTGCACTGCTAACAAATTCCCTTTCTTCCTTTCCACTGAATAGGGTATCCGAAAATAGTTGAGATGGAAGTTGACGTGGAGGTAGGTGCGGCGGAGAAGAAGAGTAACGAAGAAAACGATGGATCCTTATGGGAAAGATTCTTACCGCGAATGGTTCTCAGAGTGCTTCTAGTCGAAGCCGATGATTCAACTCGTCAGATTATCGCCGCTCTTTTTCGTAAATGCAGTTACATAGGTTTCTTATTTACCTTTCCTTTCTTCATTTTGTTAAATCGTTATTATTCTATTTATCTAGATCTACCAATTAAATTATATTACTTGTTTGATTCCCCTTCTTTTTTTTAATGCCTAATTTTTGGTTTTTTCTCTCTCAATAGTTGCGGCTGTTCCTGATGGTTTAATGGCGTGGGAGACTTTAAAGGATCGACCTCATAGCATTGATCTTATATTGACTGAAGTAGAGTTGCCTTCAATATCTGGATACGCGCTTCTTACTTTGGTCATGGAACATGATATCTGCAAAAATATTCCAGTTATAAGTACGCAATTTCAACTAAAATTTTATTGATGCTTTACCATCTTTGATTTATGTTTGAAGTTTTATTAATTGGACTTGATTAGGAATGAAGCTAAAATCTTTTTGTTTATGTATAATTATACCAGTGATGTCATCGGAAGCTTCATTTAGCATGGTTCTGAAGTGTATGTTAAAATGTGCAGCTGACTTTCTTATCAAGCCTGTTCGGAGGAATGAGTTGAGGAATCTGTGGCAGCATGTTTGGAGAAGACATATGGTATGCACTTTGCTCACATTTTGTTACGTTGTTTCTTGGTTGAAATCAAGCATTTAACTCGGGTTGATTTTTTCCCTGGTATTTGCGTTACATTTTATCAGCTAGCTGGTGGATGTTCTCCTCATAATCTACCTGCGACAGAGCATAAAGTTGAAGCCACGGCTGAGAACAATGATGAGAGTAACCAATCCAGTGATTATGGATCATCTACAGAGAAAATCAAAGACGAAAGTGATACCCAAGTGAGCATTTTCTTATCTTTTGATATTGGGTTTAATAAGGGCATCCATGAAGTGTTCTTTGAATGTCTGACAGCCAAGGGAATGAATAATTGGTTAGATGTTTGCACTATGACAAGTATCAGTCGAGAATTGTTTGTTTTTATGAGGGGTCATAATGATACTGCAATTTACTTGACAAGTGTTGATTCTATGGGTCTGTCTATGTGAGCGAAAATTCTTTGCCAGAGTAGATTGGCTTCATGTAGTACCACATAGAGACTGCATGTGCTGCCACCACTTGTGCACAACTCCTGTAGAACACCTTACTTGGAAGCTTAGAGTACATACATGTGAAATATGCAGGGTCTTTCACAATGGAAGTGTATGAGT